TGCAATGCTCTTGTTTGGTCTCCCTCAGGCGCATCGCGTCTGTCACATGTGTCTATTTCCGGAGTCCTGAGTCCGCGGAAGCTCTCCGCAGGCTCTCGGTTATTAACTTTGGCAGGCCCGTGGGGCTTTCGCCCCTTGGTTTGTCAGGTATCTAGTCAGAGTCTGTTTCCGCGGGCTCGACAATATCATTCCACGGACTGGTCAGTCCAGTGCTTTCGGGCACTAGTCCACAACTGTTCATCTAGGCTTTTAATGTTTAATCTCCTCGGTATGGTATCTAGCCAACAGGGCAAGCCATATCCCGGAAATACAGGAATATCCCGGAAATACAGGAATAACTCTGTCTGTGCACGTATACGCCCGGCGGAGCGCTATGCTGACCCTCAATGGTAAAAGGACCGAGCCTTAGCGCACCCACAACTGGATACATGCTCTGGCATCATCAATACACAGCTAGCAGCTCGGAGCTCACTTTAACTCTAATTGTATATCACCGGGCAGGGGCTCTGCGGAGTGATCCGAACTGATCCGACGGTCCTTCCGACTCTTTCCTTCTGTCGGCAAAGTTGACCTCTGGCTTCCTCGTGACACCTGTTGAACATTTCAAGTTTTTCAGTGAAAAAATGCATGAAAAATGTTTTGAATTTTACAGAAGTTTTTCACCAAAAATGTAAGTGAAAAACTTGAATCATTTTCAAAAGTTTTTTGAATTTGAGGTGAAAAATTCAAAATAAAAAGGAAAACTGCTGAAAAACTTGAGTTTTTCACCTACATTTTTGGTGAAAAACTTCTGTAAAATTCAAAACATTTTTCACCAATTTTTTCAGTCAAAAATTTGAAATGTTCAACCAGTGTGAGTGTTTCTGTTTCAATTATCATTCTTATAAACTCATTTTTCATCAAATATTTCGGTTTCAAGCTCAATGTGGTTCCAATCTGTACTTTTCAGCCAAATCTACAAAGAGGAATGAAGTTGCTCAGGAAGTTGAAGTTCGTGTCATGAAATTTTCAATTTGCTCTCGGTTGCCAAAGTTGAAGCTCAGGTTGATCATTGGCCAAGATAGGTCATTAATCGTCCGTGATCAGATTTCAATCTCCCCACGGAATTCGATAAAGAAATGTCTATTTTGTATCCCATTGAACAGACGCTATAGTTGACCACAGTTCTCTATTTTAAAATGTACTCCGACAATCCCTGTAGAATTTGGATATCAACATACATGTATCAAAACTCGGTCCTAATAGAATCAAACTGTGTGGCCATGTGAGCCCTGGGAGCATCGGGGCACGGCTAGATGGTGAGGAGATGGAAATGGGGGTCATTGGAAATCAGCTGACCTGCGCTGGAACTCAAACTTAGCTTGATTTCGTACCAGATGCTCGAATATTTGATGAGAAATAAGGTCATACATTCTGTTGGTACGAATTTTTAAAAGAAGTTGCTTGCCGAACATCATCCGAACCGAGATTGAACTCAACGCCCGATGATATCTAAAGTCAATACCATGTATAGGGTTAGTCAGATTAGTTTTCAAATTTATTCTGAGGAGAATTGTGGAAGATGCGAAGAGTGGCAGGACTGCTCCAACGTCGATGTTAAATCCCGAAGTTGAAGTCGGAGGAATGATCCGCTGATCGGAAGGTTCCGGTGCCGGAGATCGGATGGCGGAGCGGAAGTTACGGATCAATAGCAAACACCACAGCGAGGTAAGGGTGTGCGTACTACCTGGACTGGCGAGAGTAGAAGTCGTTCTGATGAAAGTCGGAACAAACTCTGGAGGATGGAAGTTAAGGAAGAGTTCAGGACGGGGCGGGTAGTCAAGAACGTTAATAATCAAACTGAAGTTACATACAGGCATATGGAATATTTATACTAAGTCATAATTATGTTGTTCCGCCTGCACTTTCCTGCTGCGATGTACTCCGTGATGAGAGGGCACTCCCTGACATAGTGGCCCAGCTTCGAGCAGAATCCGCACTTGCCCGGTTCAAACCCTCCACCTATCATGGGTTGTCCTTCAGTCTGTCCTTGCGGAGCACCAGTAGAATCTCGGAAGGCTTGATTCTGAGGAGGAAGGCGCGCAGGCGCATTCTGGTTCCAGCGAGCCGGTGGCGCTTCTGCTTGATTTTGGTACGCCGCGCCCTGGTTGCACTGTGGTTGTGCTTGGTTCCTCTCCGATTCCAACTTGGCGTCCATTGTAGCACTCATCTGAAGGGAAAACATTTTTCCAAAGTTTTCTAGCTGAGACGCAACAATTTCCACCATCTCCTTTTTGACAACAGTGTGATCCTTGTCGACCGCACCATATATTGATATTGAAGCTGGAGTTCCGTCAATCGCCCCTTCAGCGGCTTTGATGACCTCTGTCATTGCGTATGGTTCATCGCTGGGCTGATCGTGCTTAACAATTTGCAGTCGCTGCAATACCCTGAAGCAAAAGTCCGGATGGATCCCTTTCATGAACCATTCGTTCATTTCTCTGTCTGAGATCTTCCCTTTGGCTTTCAAGAAATCACCAATCCGCTGGAAATTGTGTTTATACAGGGCGAAGTCTCCTCTGTCTTTTGGTGAGTCTTCGTGCGCCTTTTGCACAACCTCTCAAAGGTCTGCCCATGTATACAGCTTTTCACCGTGTGATCCCGGGTAGAGCTTCTTTATCTCCGTTTTGAAAGCGTCGAAGGTCATCCCATTGACCTTCTTCCGTCCCCATAGTTGCTCATCATCAATATCAACATATCAGAGCGCGATTTGGATTAATTCATCGTCCGTGGTACGCTCGGTGTCCTGCCCGGTGTCTGCAATATCCCTAAAATAACGCTCCAGGTGCCCGGCTTTCCCATCGAATGAGGGGGCGGTCTTCATGCCGCACGCTGGTAGAGGTTTAGGAGGCATACGGAGTAGAGGTGGTTCCGGAGCTTGGTCAGCCGAGGTGTTCGACGGATTTAATGATGATTCGGAGGTAAGTGTCTCCGATGTTGGTTCGGAGGCGCTTTGCGGTGAGGGAGTAGTCGGGGTCTCGGGTTCCGGAGTTGTGAATCGGGATAACTCCGAGATTTTGTCCTCTGAGTGTTGAAGGGGAAGCTCGTCCGAAGGTTGTTCAGGTAGGTTTTCGGCTAAAAGGATTTCCTTGGGTAAGGTACGCTGAGGGCCCCTGCGGCTGTTGGTAACCGGAGTTGGTGGAGGCGCGTTTGAAGATGAAGCGAAAGGGTCCTTCCCCTTTCGCGTGTTATATCGCCGTTTGGTAGTGATTTTTGCAACCTGTAGGATGGAGACTTGTCTCCAGCTGTAAAATTCCCCCTCGCAGTGGGCTCCAGATGTGATGCAGACTGCGGTGCTTTAAACTGCCTGATGGTGGGGAGATCCGGGCTATGTTTAAATGCTCGTCCTCTAGGGGGAATTTGTTCTGTTGCGGTAGACAAGTATGTAGGGAGTTTTTAAATAATATTGGTGGGGATATCCATACAAGGATTTGAAAAGTCTGTTCGAAATCCTACTAGCTAGGGTGGACTGAGCGAGCTCCGATGCCTAGTTAGCCTTCTCAGGTTAACGGAGATTGAATCTGTTCTACACTTCCTCGGAGGAGGAGCTTCAGAAGGCGATGTGGGGTCCAATTCGTCAAGTCCGAGGTGAAATATGGATTTAGGGGCTTCCTGGACCACGAACCACAGTCGTCCGAAGTATCTTTGAGTCGTAGATCGTAAGACCAGGGGAATCATGTGTTTGCGGTAACGTTCCTGAAATTTCTCCTCCCTTTACCCCTCTTTGTGCCTCTACGGAGTTTCCTCTCTCTACTTCTCACCTGTTCGCTTGCTGAAGGCAACTTCCTGCGGGCTCTGCACCACCAACTTCCTTAGCTAGCAGCTACACACGAACTCCGAAGACCTCGTTGTGCTGTTTGAGAGATTTCACTGCCCTACTAGCATAGGGGAGAAATAGACGGTTCAATATTCGGCGCTGAACTAATGCCAAATGAAACTCTGTTCGCTGTCTGACGGCGGCAAGGGAGTGCCGAGGTCGATTTACTGCATAACTCAACTCCGGGTGACCTCTAGGTGATGTTCGGGGCAGGTTTTAGCTACTCCTAAGCTGGCTAAGGCTTAGAAGGTGAGGATGTGGGCCGAAACTGAGATAGTATTTTGGTAAACTAGCTGTAGTATTTATACCCCAGCCCAAGGCTGTGCTGGAGTTGTTCCTTTGTGTCCCATACCTGCTCACCTGCACGCTCCTCCGCCCGGAGTTCGCTTGTGACTCATTCCCGAACTCCGTGAACCCATACCCACACCATCTTCAGTCAGGCACCGATTCCGCAACCCGGACTTGTTGGCCCTAGTCTCGGACACTCCATGTCCGGTCCTAACTCTCCTCATATCCGGCTCCTGCCTGTGACGGCTCGATAGTGCAGTGGAAAATGCACTCCGTATCCTTTCACCCCAGTGTTTGACTTACGGAGAGTCCAGAGTTCGATCCTCCGTCGAGCCTTTTCCCTATGCTACCCACCTTTTTGATTACCTGGAGTTCTCATTCCATCCTTTCAGGTCGTTTGGTATTCACGACTTGATGGTGTAACTGTAACGCATCCTGCCATGGTTCTTGCACAAGCGTGTCTTTTGCAGGAAGTCCGGAGTTCAACCCTCCGTCGAGCCATCCCTCTTTTCCATTCCTTTTTCGTGCGCCTCTTACTGGACCTCCATATCGGTCGCACACATGGTCCGGTGGCGTTGTGGTAATGCACTCTGTTCGCGTAGCTGGCGGGAAACTGAAATAATGGAGGGACCGGAGTTCGAATCTCCGACAGGCCTTACGTTCTTTTTGTCTATCGAGTAAGAAGATAGGGCACATTTTTGAATGGTTCAGTGGTGCAATGGTATCACACTCCACATTCCTATGTAGTTCGCGGTATGCTTTACAGAGAGTTCGGAGTTCAATTCTCTGCTGAGCCATTATGAAGAAAACCCTTCATTTTCATGGCGATAGTTTTGGCTGGTCGTTCGATTCCTACGGCTTGGTGGCATAATGGTAATGCACTCTGTGATAATGCGCATTTTTATATCGACTGACAGAAAGTCCGGAGTTCAATTCTCCGTCAAGCCGTTTTGACGGAAACCCTTCTTTTTACAGCAATCGTCTTGGCCACTTGTACGGCTTGTTAGCGTAGTGGTAACGCGCTCCGTAGCGATATGTAACGTTTGCATATCACGGAAGGTCTGAAGTTCGATTCTTCGTCAAGCCTTGACAATAACCATTCTTTTTCACAGCAATGGTCTTATTGGCATTTTTGGTAGTCCGGTTCATGGCTTGGTGGCGTAATGGTAACGCGCTTTGTGTACCTATGGAATGTTCCCATATTGTTTAACGGAAAGTCCAGAGTTTGATTCTCCGTCAAGCCATTGTTGGGTCGGGATATCATTTTTAACTTGTGAGTTGGTCCTTGGTGGTCATCGAGTTCGACTCTTGAATGGCTTGTTGGCGTAATGGTAACACATTCTGTGTACCTTATGGAACATTGTTCGACGGCAAGTCCGGAGTTCAATTCTCCGTCAAGCCATGTGTTGGGTCTGGGTATTCTTTTTTTTTTACGTTGATGGCTTAAGCCGTTGTTCTCGGAGTTTGGTGTTTTGAGGTCACGCTGGGAGCTATCACAATGTGATGGCTCACAACGGCCTTAAAGTCCATTTCTATATAAGGTAATCAGAAACAGAAGAAGCCGCAAGTGAGGTATGCGGAGTGGTGAAGTCCGCTCGAGTTGAGTGCGATAAATAAGGAAGTTAAAAATGGGAAACACTCAGTAATCCTTCATTGCGTGAAAACCCAATTCGGGCGGCGTCCGATGATCCGGACGCTGGAACTTCCCGAAGGTACGGAACATCCTGGGAGTGACAGAACACATCGGGAGTTCAGGACGTATGGATATAACAGTCGACAAGTAAGCCCGGCCTGAACACTTTGTTTTCTTCTTCAGTTTGCTCAGAAGCCAGCGGTGGAAATAAATAGCCTAGCTCTGCGTTCGATTCTCCACAGCGCAACAAAGATCGCAGAAAATGGAAATTCATCATGCTACGGGACTGGGTTCAGTCAATGCACCCTCCGACTGCTTGAAGCGAAGTTAGATTATTAAATGACAATGTGGAGCAGCAATACTCGATGACTCATATAGAATTAAAAATCCCTCCGTCGATGCAGTTTAAGCATTGAGCAGGAGTACCTACAGGTGGAATTGTGGATACGCGCTTCAAGTTTGCGGGCATATTCTTTCGTTTCCCACAGGCTTGACAGGGTGAGAGAGACAGCGTTTTCTTGGCCATATGGTTCGCGGAGGAGTCCGAGCCTAATTGGTGGTGAATGAGGGAACGATTGGTGTTAGATTTGCTAGAAAGCAGATTTTTCGCAGCCATCTCGCCAAGGGGTACCCGCCGGAGAATCCCGAGACATTAGGTAAGAGGGGAGGGGGGGGTCTGAGATCCTTATTTCACTTTTTGGAAAAAGTTGCGGGACACCTCAAAAACACGTTTCAGACAATAAAAAAAAATCTATCTTTTTATAGTTTTCTTTGGGTGGCCATGGGCACTCGGGGAGCAAGTTTGGCTCATCCCAATTTGACTCCAATGCGATCGACATCGATGCCAAGCACATACACTCCACATTGGCCGAAAATACTGTGCTCGCCACCAAGATCACTGCTGATGAGGTTGGCACGGATTCAGAGGCCCCTGAGAAGTCTTGTACGTGGCATGGCCCAGGTAGGGTAACGAGGCGTGCCCAGTCCCAGATTACCAACAGCCCTCTTCCTATTAAGATTGGGTCAAGAAACCACAGAGTTGACAAGAAATTCCTTTCAAGTGGTCCCTATCAGCAAGCGTCGCGTGGACCAACCGGTATTACTATCGCCTCGGGACATTAGGAGGGTAAAATATAGAGTCAATGACTCATTTTGAGCAGGTGAGTAACATTTCATTGATTTAGTGCACTCCGCACTGCTGTCCCTTACAGCAAACTGCCATTTTTCACCATGCAGAAAGTTTAAATGCCGGGTTCTTAGCCGCGAGGTCCAGGGATGAAACCACCACTCCAGATACAGTCATCTACATCGTATAAGGCCTGTCACAGTCCATTTTGGCCAACCATGCCCTCTAGCTGTTACATGGCGCTCATTTGATCAGCACGACTGATCCCGCTACCAGGCCCGCTCCTCATAAGCATCTCCTACTTCCGTATTATATAGGTTTAATGTCGCATTTAATGTTTAGAATTGACCAATTGGGTCCCCTCATTGTGATTATGCACCGAGAAGTCACCGACAGAACACTAGCGACGGACGTACGCCCGTGGCCAGCTAGCCCGTCAATTCCCCTTTTGGGACTTCCGCCGGAAATAAATTTGCCAAGCGCTCAAAGTGTCACCATAATTAGTGCAAGTCATTTCAATCTGTTCACAGGATGTGCGCCTACAGTTGAGGCCCTTCTACACTCGGAAATGCCTTGAAAGAAGCTTCTGATAAACGAAAAACCGTAAGGTGGCCAGCTTCCCAGCGGGATATAGTAGTGGCAGTCGAAAATAAAATGAAACGATTTGAGACTGAGTCCATCGTGAGCCGGTTTTTATCCTTGAGCATTATCCCTGTCGCACGGGAAAAACACTGCTGATGATTCCTTGATAGATGGCACTGCGGGCAAATGCCGAGGCATGTGGACATGCGCAATACGCATGTGATGATGCACGTGTTCGGCATGTGTTCGGCATGCATCGATCACATGCGTATTGCGCATGTGATGTCCACATGCCTCGGCATTTGCCCGCAGTGTGGGTATCCGTTACGACTGTCCCACAATACTGATAGATGGTGGCTTTTCTTCAATTGAAATCGCTTCAAGTTCCTTTTGACTTAAGAGCCTGGCCATAATAAGGGCTCCATTCGAAATGTGGTTCTTTCACCTCTGATCACTGATCCGATACCATCCTTCCAATTTCCCTGGATACCCTCCAGCTCCGCTAAAAATTTCCAAAGACGTTGTACTGACAGTCACGGCCAACCAAAGTTGATTCCTTATATTTCTTATGATTTTCCCGACACAAACGCGAGTTATGCGTCGACCCGCGCGCAGACTCGGAGTCAATATTCGGAGCCCACCAACCCCCTTCGCCTCAAGTTTATACAGCGACACTTGAGGCCACCATTCTCCTGGAGCTTAGGCTTGCAAGAGCCGGGGATGCGGGGCTTGGAATCCTGGAGTACAGTCGAGTCGACAACAGACTGTGTGGGATGGGTGCAAGGTTACGGGCCGGTGGATAGTACTTCCCAGATATTTCCTTTGCTATAGGAGCAGTTTCTCACCAAGGGCAGCCTTCATTGGATGTATGTTGGATATGTTGGATGTGGCCAGCAAAGGTCCCGCAGTCCCCAGGCTCGACCGACTGTCTGAATAGACCGCAGCTACAGTGGCGCTATTATGTTCTGCACGCGCTGGTTTTAGCTCATTTCTGCACCAAATTGTATCAAATAAAATTGTGACACTAAGGATGCGCAATTTCAGGAAGTTCTGGATGGTACAGTTGCCCCAGAATAAAATGATTTAGCCCTGTAGGAAACTGCAACTCTGTGGATCCGGTGGGAATTTGGGCTCAGAATGCCAGCCACAACTTGGTGATTTTGAGCCTTTTTGGCTATTTTTTGTCAAAAATACTGAAAATCACCAACTTGCACATCTCCGTGTGAGCCCAAATCCCTATCGATTCAGGTCAACTAAATTGTGACTAGGGATACTTTTTCAAGTAGGTGTATCTTAGGCAAATTTCCCACCTGCCGAGGACTTATGACACTAAGATCCACGACAAAGCTGGCAAATGGGGCAAGACTGTTTTGCTCAAAACAAATACATGTCTTAAAGACCACGGCCACCTTACAAACACAAAGACTGTCAAAGAGTATTTCAAAGACATTAGATGTCAAAGACAAATGTATTGTTTTCCTCATGTGTACAGTGAAAGATCACACAAATTACTAGGAAATCAAATTATGCATTTTTTGTATGTAAGTTGATTCAAGTCGTAATTTGATCAAATGATCAAAGACAAGTGCTGGCCACATGCGTAGGTCGCACCTGGCGGTCAGGTGCCTCGGTCTTTGCCCCTGGTGTAGTATATAATAGTGCCACTGTATATCGGCGGGACCATACTAACAGTCTGGGAGTCAGGACGCATATGTAGGCCGCAATGGGGGTTGGAGAGCAGAATAGGTCGATTTCGTCATCAAATTCAGGAGCGCTGATGTGGCACGCGAGGGTGAGCGAAGAAACATATCCATGCTGAAGGAGAGCATCTTCCAAGGCAGGCGCATGAACGAGTTGGAAAGCATCAACCGCACATTCTTTGTTGCCTAAGGGAAGGGCCAAGGCGCTCGGGCGGCCTCCGACACTTGCAATCGCCTCCTCGAGGTGGCCATGACCAGACATACGGAGCTATTTGGAGATATAATGGTAGACTCCGAGGAACGTGATATGGTTCGTGACATTCTCTTCGTTCAATCGTTGTCCAAACAGATGGCCCATGCCCGCACAACGATGGTGCGTATACCGGGCTGCCCGTCGATTTGCTGGAATGCCGTGGGATCCTGAATTAGAAGGCCAAGGACTGCCACGAATACCCCGTACGGTAGATGCCAATCCTCTAGGAACGGTACAGCGGGAAGATGATCCCGATATGTGTCAATGAAGTGCATCAAGGGCCATGCGCGGGCCCATATCAACGAGGCTGCACCATGATGGAAGAATCTTTTCGAATTGACGATGAGGAAATCCTGGAGGGACAGAGTTGCGTGGTTTATCTTCTGCTTAAAGAACTCCGTGTCCGGCGTCAAGATGAATCCAATCGTTCCAGTAGCTCGGAGATTGATTTCCCGTCGATACCTGAATACGGGCATGATATTCTCGGCCCTGGACCTCGAAGTGAATCACGTGATATCTTGGTAAAGGAGCCAAAGCTCGCCTACGTCGCCATCTAGAGCGGCCCTCGCGTGTTTCTTCGGACATTAGACTCACAGGGGCTGATAGGAGGAGGATTTACTTGAACATCGAGGGGGAGTTAACGTTGAGGTCGCAGATACGTACGTGGGGAGAGTCGGAAGAAGCCGAGCGTAAACAGGTGCAATGCGAAGTGAACAGCCACCTGACTCGTTTGGCACATCTCATCACCCGACTTCACTGTTTCCTCTGCAACAGCTAACCGACGGTTTGTTACCTACCTACACTTACCGCCTTGAGCTCTGTCTCCAATTTCACAACCTGCAATACCTCGGTCCTCGACGCTCGATCACTGACAGCGAGAAAGCAGCAATCCTGATCTTCGGTGTAATCTGCGGTGACCGTCCACTTGAAATGTTTGGTCTATGTCCGAACTAATTATCTTTATTCAGTCGTGCAGTCTGTCTCCCTAGGTATCTGCATTGCCGTGGTTCTGCTGTACCCTTGATGTCGACAGCTATAACTTTCTACCCGTAGTTGCCGCCCAAATACGTGCAAGAGGGTACATTCCGTCATCTCTACTCTTTATCCC